TAACTTCCCTATTTTTTCACAGGATTTTTGAATATTATATTTCTTAAATATTCTCTGTTTGTTACTAAACTTACTTAGTAATATCATTTTTTTATAAGTTATATGTGATATTATGTTCATGTATCTTTGTTGATTTATTTCAAAAGGGGTGTTATCTATTTCATTTTCTATATTTTCTTCTGTTTTTTTTTTACTAGTTATAACGAAGAACAATAAATTTTACAGTTTTAACATGTGGACAAATAATTAATATTATAAAACCTTTAGAAAAGATAATTTTAAAAAATATAAAATATAAATAGTTTGTTATAAATGTGAAAAATTTGACCATTTTTATAATTTTTTAAAAAATTATGTTGCAAGTTTCAACGGCGACACTAAAAAGTTGTCACAGTGACTTTTTAGTGTCACCGCTAATTGTTAGCACTTTTATTTTTTTAAAAAAAATTATGTTGTAAGTTTCAGCGGCGACACACAAGTCGTTGCTGAAAGTTGACTTTCAGTGGCGACTTTTTAGTGTCGCCACTGATTGTCAACATTTTTTTATTTCTTTTAGAAAAATTATATTGCAAGTTTCAACAGTGACGTACAAGTCATCGCTAAAAGTTAACTTTCAGCCGTGACTTTTTAATGTCGCCGCTGATTATTAGTATTTTTTAATTTCTTTTAAAAAAATTATGTTGTAAGTTTCAGCGGTGACATACAAGTCGCCGTTGAAAGTCGACTTTCAACGGTAACTTTTTAGTGTTGCCACTAATTGTCTACATTTTTATAATTTTTTTACTAATGTATAATCATTATTATTTTTATTATTTATTCTTAGATATTTTTATATTATAATTATAAATATGAATATTAAAATAAATAATATAACAACCTCAAGAAGTAAAAAAATTAAAATAAAAAATACAAATTATATTGTATTAATTATATTTATAGTTTACTTTAAACAAAATAAATAATATAATTTATAATTTTATAAATTGAAAGAATTAAATTGAAGTATTTAAGGATAGTAATGATATTTTATAATATTTAATATTTAATATATGTGTGTGTTTGTATAGTTTAATAATCTGTGTGTGTGTGTGTGTGTGTGTATTTAATTATGCAATAATAGATTATAGGTTCATTCCAGCTTAGTGGCAAAATGGTTAGACACAAAAGGAAGAGGTCACAGTTTCAAACTTTGGAGGAGACAACTTTTAAAATGAAAATATAAATTGATGACATGATGACACGTGGCGTATGGTGAGAGCGACACATGGAGAGTGACATAGGGCCACATGGCGTGAGGTGAGGGGCGACACATGGAGGATGACATGGCGTCACATGGTGCGAGGTGGGGCCTATGTGGAGGGTGACATGGAGTCACGTTGCGTGTGGTGAGAGCGACACATGAGAGTGACATGGTGCCATGTGGCGTGAGGTGAGGATGACACGTGGAGGATGACATGGCAACACATGGTGCGAGGTGGGGCCTTACGTGGAGGGTGACATGGCACCACGTGGCGTGAGGTGGGGCGCCACGTGAACGGTGATGTGGTGCCATGTGTGTAAGTGAACCAACATTAATTTTTAACGACAACTTTTTGGTAGCTTCAGCGGCAACAACTGTCGCCACTGATACTTAACATTCAGCGACGACAAAAATAGTCGTCGTTGATGCGTGGTTTCTACGGCGATAATTGTTGCTGTTGATTCTCAACTTTCAATGGCGACTTTTATTATCGCCACAGATTGAATCAGCGACAAGAGCTCTCGCGGTGACACTGTGGCGTCTTTTTGTCGCCACTGAAAACTTTGAGGGGCAACTTTTAGACTTTTGGCAGCGACAAATGTCGCCACAAATTCTCAACTTTCAGCGGCGACTTTTTTTGTCACCACAAATTGAATCAGCAACAGAAGCTCTCGCGGCGACATTGTGGAGACCTTTTGTCGCCGCTGAAAACTTTCAACGGCGACTTTTTGACTTTCAGCGGCGACATAGTCAATTTTTTTTTAGTGAGATTTGAAGTTGATAGAGCATTTTGGCAATGTTCCTGGGATTTTCCGGGGTCCGAATTTAAACGCCTATGATCCTTCTTTTTTCCATTAGTCCTAATAAGTTGGCTGGTAGGGAAAACATGAGGATACATAAACTTCATTACAATAAATACTTCTTCAGTCGTATGCAGAACTCGGGTGCACTACGCCGCAACTTTGAAGCTTTCATTGAGAGTAATTCTGTGACAATTGTTTCTCAGTATCCAGATTTAAGTTATCCATTGACAGAGCAAGTTTTTTCTGAAATCATCATGGAGGATGCTATCTTTATTTTGGAGCACTTTCTGAGGAACTCATCACCAAGTCCCAGAGATGATTATCCATTAAATACACCTTCATTTTCCCAGATCATCCACATGAAGACTTGTTACTTGTTGAAAATCAGCTTCCATTTTTCGTCTTAGAGAAGCTATATGAAATATTCATCAGTCAAGTTGATACACCCAAACCCAAAGATCAAAAGTATCCAAGATTATTTCTGGACCTCTGCCTCGACTACTTTAGCTATTTGCCAATATGTTCAGCCAAAGTAACCCAGCATCTAAAAAGACATTCCTTCTTACATTTCACAGATCTTATTAGATGTCTTTGCCTTCCATATTATTTTGATGATACTCCATATGAATATGGTTCAAACAACACCAGGGGTGAAGAGACTGAATCCCGTTCAACCCAAATCCGTGGTTTAAAGAGAGCAGCGAAATTGAAGGAGGCATGGGTAATTAACTTTAAACCAGTTCATGGCACAAGCTTGATTGACATCAGATTCATCTCTCGGAATGTCCTCTGTGGTCGACCATGTTTGGGATTCCCAAGACTAATCATGGACGACCCAACTGAAGTAATATATTATCCAAAACATCATTTCTTTCGAAAAGTATCATTGTAATCGGAATCAGCATCACTTCAGCGCCTATATTCGTTTGCTTAGAGATCTCATTGACACTCCAGAAGATGTGGCTGTGCTTGCTTCCATGGACTGGATACTAATGAGGAAGTGGTCACTTTAATCAAGAAGCTAACAAAAGGATTCTTGGCAAAGTCAAGCACTTACAACAACATCATTGAACAAGTCAGAAGACATTACGACAGTGGGTGGACTCACTTCAGGTTAACTTATTTTCGTGATCTTTGGAGAACAAGTTCGACTATAATGGGACTCGCTGTCTTCATCTTCAGTACTACCAACACCGTCCGTACTTTTTTTAAAGACTTTTAATAATTAGGATCGTGCTATTTAAGTGTTATGCCTAATGTTTGTTTGAGGCTAATAAATGATTTCTCTTGTCTTGGTTTGATTGTGGTTGCTTTTGTTTCTATTAAATTAATATGTTTGATGCTTAATTATATCGTGGAATGCTAAGTGCTAATAAATATATTTCCTTAATTGTTTGGTTTAGCTCGTTTGATTTTGATTTCTCTACTTTTGGTTTGATTATTGGATTACTTCTTTTTTTTTAATATTAATCATCTACATTACATATATAAGCATGTGCCTATTTCATTTTCATGATTTAACAGCTAAGTTATGGCAATTCTATTATTCGTGTTTAATTATTTATAATCTAGTGTTATAATATTTTTAAAAATGTTAAACCTACACTTGTAAAGTTCTAACGGTTGAAACGAATTTCCTACTTTATTTATTGTGTACCAATTGATCGCATATGATGCGTGATCAATCATGAAGATAATTTCCAGAATGAACGAAGTTAGATACCAAAAATTTAATTCAATATCAAAAAACATCGAGTTAAAAAAATATTAATTTACACAATTACAAAAATATAAAAGTCTTAGACTCTTGATTGAAAACATTGATAGTGTTATGAAAATAGATATTCAAAGGAGGAGAGAAGAGAGAAAATTATACTGAGACAATAAAAAAATAAGATAATGAGAGAATTGAGACTTTTCTTATTTTGATGTATAAAATACAACTAAGGTGCCTTCTATTTATAGGCACAAATATATTAATTAAAGAAAATAAAATATACAAAATAATAATAACTACAAATATTATAATAACTGAATGATATTGGAGAATATAAGATAATGAACATCCACATCATATATTAATTTTCATAACACTCCTTCTAGGATGTCTAGATATTAGCCTTATTAAAACCTTACTCGGAAAAACTTAATGGAACAAAAACTTAGTGAAGGAAAATAAGTACATAATATTGTCATATTTATTGAAGTTGCATCATTAAAAACCTTACCAGAAAAGCCCACTGGGATAAAACTTTGCTTAAGGAAAAAATAATATAGCATAAGTTTTATATTCCCCTGATGATGATATCACTCATTGTTTTTGAATTTTCTTGAGTCATTGTATCTTAACTTGTGTGTCAATTTCTTAAATATTATTTGTTGTCGATGCCTGTGCAAGCTGATATTTTCTTACAACTAGACTATATATATGAACCATTGGTTTCATGTAATATTTTGAAACATCTTCCATATACATCTCTTTTGGATATGAAGACATTATCCACTTGTCATATATTTTGTGGGAGAAACAGTAAAAGTCACTAATAAACAATTATAACATACAAGTATTTTCACTAGTAAATAATCTTTGGAAGGTCAACTTGTATAGTTCAAACTATGCATAACAAATGTATAATCAATTAATTTTGTTCCTAAATAAGCTTTTTAAAGCAACTAAACACACTAAAAAAAATGTTGCTATAGCCACAAATAATTGCTACGTTTTTTCTTAAACCGTTGGATAATCCTGCGTTTTTACAAAAAAAACTGCCATTATTAATTTTTTTTCAAAAAAAAACAAGAAGAAGAACTAAATCCATGGTTTTTGAAAAATCATGGATTATTGAGCCACGTTTTCTGTGAAAACCGTGGTTCAACGAGCCATGGTTTCTCATCTGAGAAACCGTGGCTTGTCTGACAAAAAATTAGAAACCAAGCCATGGTTTTTACAAAACCATAGCTCAACGAGCTCGGTTTCTTCTTATTTATACCCACCCATGCTATTTTCAACTTCATGCAGTATATTCAGCATCTCGAGGTATGCATGCTTCATGTCTTTTCCTCTCTTTTTTTCCATTTATTTTATATGTGTTTTTATATTTTATACATTTTATTATATATTTTCAGGAGTTAAAAAAATTCTCAAAGTCATTATAAATTTGACATTTCACTACACATTTGAGGTAATTCATTTTTTATTTTATGTTATATTTCGTTTTTTAATTATATAAAATTTTATGTATGATAATTATTAGTTTGTTTTTAATGTACATTGAATATCTATGAATAGGATAAGATAAAATTAGATATTTAATTTTTTAGGATGAAATATGACATGAATTTATGTTGTTGTATTTTATTAGGTTTAAATTTTTTATTATAAATTTTTATTTTTTATATAGGATAATTTAAATGTTACATTAATGTTAAAATTAAATTTATTTGTTGTGATTAAATTTATGTTGTGCATGTTAGGATTTTTATTTTCATTGTTTATATTTATTCAAATAATAAAAAATATGTTGAAATTTTATGCTTAAATATAATAAATTATAGATATTTTTTTATTTTATATAAAAAACGGATAAACTTTGGATATCTAAACTTCACAACACAAGAGAATATATGAATGGTTTGGAAAGATTGTTAAATTTTGTTTTTGCAAACAGTGGCATTGAGGGTAAAATAATTTGTCCTTACCCTAAGTGTAATTTTAGAAAATGGAATGTTCGGGAAGAGGTGCAGAACCATTTAATTGCTAAATGATTCCCTCTAGATATACATGTTGGGTTTTTCTTGGTAAAAAACGCAAATTCAAAGTAGCTTCTTCCCATGGCCCAGTTAACGTAGGAAATAGAGAACAAGGCAATGAGACTAGTGATTATATTCATAAATTAATTTGTGATACTTTTGGTGTGCAAGATGTAACACACCAATTTTTTTTTTAATAATTTAACTCAACCATAGTTGGGTTACAGCCACCCAACACATTTTTATATCAATAATTTTAATATAAAATATTTTATAATTAGCTTCAACTCACACAATATAACATTTCAGATAAATTTTTACCTCCCACATGCCATTAGGCTAAATCACATTTGTCCATCCTTATACTCCCAACAAGTAAAATAAGTAATTTAGTCAATTTTCAACACAAGCCAGTTATTTGGCCTTATAATCATGCCATTTTAATCAATCCAAAGTAAACCAAATATTAAAATTACAGTCATCCAAATTGTACCAAAAATAGAAATAGTTTGAAAGACATGATTACATTTATATATTTATATAATTGACAATAAATAAAAAGCCCTAATATTGGCAATATAAAACATTATAAATCATAAATCAAATACCTAAAAGAGACAGTGGATCTATGCCACTAAGCCTCTGGGACTCCTCCACGTGTCACTCGTGGCTCTTTTCCTGAAAATTGTTAACCACATAATGAGACTCAAAAGTCTCAGTAACCATAGCCAATTTATGATAGTATATACAAACAGTTAAGTGTGTGCTTACTAAGTGAAAATTAAAAATAATATAATTCCAACAAAATATAAGAAATATTATAATACACACAAATAACCATCCTTATATCCCTCCATTAACCTCGAGCCGTAGCCCTCACTCGGTGCTAAATTACTCAACCAAATATAGATTAGCCCAAGCCCTTACAAGCCACCTATTGAGCTCCAATAGGGGCGTACCACATGGCACATAAATACAATAATAAAAGCAAGTCTCCCAACACCTCCCACAATAATCAAACAAATTCATAATAATATTGCACAATTATACAATATTACAAAATTCATAATTTTCTCAATAATCACCCAATTAACATGAAATAACACTAATCACAAATTAAAAGCATGGTTACCTTGTGGCTTTTTCAATAAATTATTCCTTACAATTTCTCTCCCACCACAATCTTTACCAATAATACAATCTACAAATAACATATTATTTATAAATATTAGTTTTAATTTTTGAAACTAATAAAATAATTCTAATAATAGAATTAAAAATGTAATATAATTTCTCATCTTAATCTTAATACAAATCTAGAGTTAATACTATTAAGTAAAATTTTTAAATTCTCTTTTAATTATCAATAAATATTAATAATCTAAAAAATCAACATCTAAACTAATTTCTATTATCAAAATTTTCTTTTTATTTTATAAATTCACACCTAAAATATCCAAAAATTAAAAATTAAATCTCTAGCTTAGAATCATAATCCTATAGCCATAATAATTCATTTCTCATCCTAAATAATAACCTAAACCTCAATAAATCAATATATATTTTCAGATCTAGTTTAGAATTTGATCCTATAAGCCACAAATTTAAAGATTATCAATAAATTTATACTCTAGAACATTTATTATACTACTAATAACATCAAAAACTATATTTATTCAACATAAATTCATCCCTCTTCCAGATCTTAAATTTTCTACTACTACAAACTCAGAAACCAAAGAAGAAGGATGATTAAGAAAAATTTTCAGAATACTTACTTAATCTTGAAAAGCTTAAAATCACACCCTAAATATCCTATTAAAGACTCTTACCTTGAAAACTCAGATCTTCCGCACCGGCGACTCACGCTCACTCTGCCTCAGCTCACGCACGAAGGAATGAATGAAGAAACGAAGGAAACAGGTGAGTTTTTATAAAAATTCAGTGGGTCTCATTTTTTTTTATTTCTTCTTTCCTCTCTCTCCCTTTTTTTTATTATTATTATATATACGTAATGATTGCAGCACGCGGGGGACGCCGAAAGTGCTTCTCTTCTTCTTCTTCTTCTTCTTCTTTTTTTTCCTTACCTTTTCTTCTTTTCTCTTTTTTTTAATAATAATAATAATAATAATTTAATAATATTTTTTAATTAATTAATTAATAATTTTTTTAAAAAAATTTAATTTAGAATTATATCCTAAGTTAGATTTAATAATTATTTTCTACTAATTTGCTTACCTCTAAATATTTTTCAAAATTTCTATTAATCCAAATTAACTATTAAAATTTAAATTGGGATGTTACACAAGAAGAAAATGAAACTTCAAATCAAGTTGAGGATTCATCACAAAATTAAAATCAAAGGATGAATGAAGAGATCAAAGAATTTTTTAAATTGGTGCAAGATGGACAAGATCAATTATATGATGGGTGTGAGAAAAATTCAAAATTATTATTTTTAATTAGATTGTACCATATTAAATGCTTGTGTGGTGTAAAACAAAGCTTTATCTATGATTCTAGAATTATTAGCATATGCCTTTCCATTTGCTAAAATTTTTTCTTCATTTTATGAAGAAAAAAGGACTATTATCAAGTTAGGATTGGAATATAAAAAAATTGATGTTTGCCCAAATGATTGTATGTTATATTGGGGAAAACTTGCAAAACACATAATACATCAAGATGAAAATTGATATCCAAAAAGTAAAAAACAAGTGAAAAAACCTACAAAAATTTTGAGATACTTCCATTAAAGCCACGATTGCAATGACTGTTTGTGTCATCTAAAACTACAAAGCATATGAGGTGGCGTGCTAATGAAAATAATGTTGATGGTTTGATGAGACATCTAAGGGATTCTAAAGCATGGAAAATTTTTGATATGACTTATCCAAATTTTGCTTTAGAACCTAAAACGTGCAATTGGCATTAGCTACTGATGGTTTCAATCCTTTTAAAACTTTGAGTAGTACTTATAGTATTTGGCTAGTGGCTCTTATGCTTTATAATCTCCCCACATGGATGTGTATGAAACAGGATTCATTCATACTTTCAATGATAACTCCCAAACAAAAAGCTCTACAAAATGACATTAATGTGTATTTGCAGCCCTTAATTCAAGAACTTTTAGATTTGTGGAATGTTAGAGTGGAAACATATGATTCTTATTCCAATAAAATGTTAGAATGTGTGTAGCACTACTTGTGACAATTAGTGATTTTCCTGGCTTTGGGACATTGTTTGGATGGAATGTTCATACAAGATTAGCATGTCTGACTTGTAATTTTGATTGCTCGTCATTTTGACTATCTAATATTCAAAAATGGTGTTTATAAGTCATCGACACTTTTTAGATGGTACACACAGATTTAGGTTAGCTCATGCTTGATTTTATGGAAAATCAAAGTTGAAAATGCCACTTGAGGTTCGGTCATGGTGAGGAATTTTGAGCCAAGTTGAATTGCTAATATGATTTTTAGCATGGGCAATGGTGAAAGATCTTAAAAAGGGGCTCAAAATTCAAGTGGTAAGGATTCTCAACAGTGGCGTAAGAGAAGTATATTTTTTAATTTACCTTATTGATCAAATAACATGCTTCGCTATTGTCTAGATGTGATGCATATTGAAAAGAATGTTTGTGATAATGTCCTTTTTATATCATTGAATGAATCTGATAAATCAAAAGATCATTTACAATCATGAAAAGATTTGAAAGAAATGGGCATTCAACCAAAATTGCAGCTAGATGATAATGGTAAATTTCATCCAATCAAGTTTACATTGAGCAAGTCTAATAAAGATGTTTTTCTTAAAACATTAAAAAATATCAATATACCAAATGGATATTCAAGTAACATTTCTAGATGCATTAATTTGAGACAATAGAAGATTGGGGGCTACAAAGTCATGATTCTTATGTTTTGATGCAGTAATTGCTTCCATTAGCAATTAAAAATACTCTTCAAAAAGAAGTATCAATTGTGCTTATTGATTTGTGTTTTATTTTTAAAAAATTGTGTGAAAAGGTTGTGAATGTGGGTGATCTTGACGAGCTTCAAAGCCGAGTTGTCATCACTCTATTTAAATTTTTGAAATTTGTAATATTTAAATAACTCAAAAACTTTATGAAATATTTAAATTTCCAAAAATTTTTTATTAAAATAAGCCAGTAGCTATGTTTTTTTTAAACGTGGCTTTAATATAGTAATATTTAGCTTTTAAATTATTGAAAAGCTTTTTAAAATATTTAAATTACTAAAAAAATTTATCAAATTTTTTTAAATATAACCCAATAGCCACATTTTTTACACCATGTGGCTTTGAGCCTACAGAACTCTGACAATCTAATAACTAAACAAGAGGCACGGTTTTTATAGAATGTTTTAAGCCATATTTTGTTTTACCATGGCTATATTCTTCGCACGATTGATATAGCCACGCTTTCCTACAATTGTTGGAAGAAAGCTTTGCTACGTTTTAAAAACATGGCTACTGAACAAGTAAAACTGTGCCAACATATTAGTTTTGTTGTAGTGACATAATAATTCCTTAGGCATATCAAGTATATAACTTCATTGTAAATCAACAGAATATCATAAACTATAATATGAAAGTATTTATATTTGGTGCTTTGGAACCTTATTTCAATATCCTCTTGAAGAAAAATGACCTTAATTCACATCTAACTATGCCCAATATTTTAACATCTTTTTTGAACAATCAAGTGCTCATATAAACTCTTTAGAATATTCAATGATGCTCAATCAATAAATTTTTGTATATAATCATGTGAACAAAGGAAACTTCTCGAGAATCTTTATAAGCCTTTGTCATATTGAATCCTTTGAAATTTTCAAATAAATGCTATAGTATAGAGAGCCATATCAATAAGCTAGCATTTATGACATGCATATCAGATTTCTATACTACCAACCAAATAATGTCAAAAAATCATTTTATCCATCATAAAATAATGCATTAATCCATATTTTGAATTTTTGCAAGACATTTTTATATTAAAAGTCGAGATTTGCATGTGACATTTCATATTTCTCTTTCACATAAATGCTCATGTATAATATTGCACTTCACGTGCTTAAACAATAAATTCATAACTTTCATACATTGAACAAGTGAACTCAATTCTAACTATATCACGCCTTTTTCTTTAAATTTGATTAACTTTTTATTCACATTCTATCAAGATCCTTTTGATTTCAATTTTGTTTTCATCCTTATTGAAAGTGTTGTTGACAACTCTTATTTTTTCAGTCTCATCATTTCTCATATTGATATAACTTTTCGAGATATATTTATTGTTATCAGGCACTTGATCCTCTTTGGAAAACTTAATGTCAGTTATGTCTTAGACTTTTTTAGAATGCTAACCTCCTTAATATGATCATTTTAATAATTATCTGCTCCTTTTTTTCTTTTTGTAGTATTATTTTGTATTTCTTTTTGTAATTGTATATTTGATTAGCAACTCGCATCTAATTTGTATTGTTGTAATTCTACTGTAACGCTATTTCATAACAATAATAGTAGGAGTGTATTTTCAATTTTAATAGTTCTATACTATTGTTTACTGTTTATTTTTTAATACAATTTCAAATTATAGTTGAAATAGATTTTATTTAATTTATTTGATAGGGAACCAGAAGTACATTTTTCATTATTACAAAACTATACTAATTATTTTCTAGTATATGAACACGATCATTTTGAGATGAGAGTTAAAATGATAAGTTCGTTCAAACAAATAATCTGATCAGTTTTGTCAAACACATATAACAAGAAGTCTATATACTTGTAATCGATTTGTTAGCGCTAAAAATCAGGAGATTTTATTGGCATAAAATCATGAAATGATTATAAATGTCTATTACTTAAGGCTAACCAATGAGATCTCTTAGCTTAGAAGCTTGGCAAAATCGAACACACACACACAGAGTTAGCCAAAATTGCCTACTTTCCCACCAAAGAAAGCCCAATAACATGAAAGAGGGCCTGTTGGATCTGTCCAAATTCTATCAATGGCACATGATGTTTGTTAGTCAATTAATTATGACATCTCCATGGCAAGTGATCATAAGAGAATTTTTTAAATAAATTGATTGTATCATATTATTCGTAATTTATCTAATAAAAATATAATATTTAAATAATATTAAATATAAATTGATTATGAAATTAATGATAATATTAAAAGAAAACGTAATTAAATATGCATTATGTTAAAATTAATTAAAATAATATTATATAAGATTTTATTTAGATAACTTAAGGTATTCTAATTAAATAGGCAAAAAATGACGTGATATATTCTGTCTATCTAAAAATTTCTGGTGATGATAATTATGATTAGTTGGTCATCAATTTTTAAATTTTTATGAATGAAAAAATTACGTAATAATAGTTAACTAATTTAATTTGACAGTGCTTAGATCTAACTTGATATCATTGGAGATTAGACACGTGGGGGATAAGAACAATTTATCCTTCTTATATACTATTTTAAATAATTAATTAGTAGCAAATGAAACAGTTTGGGAGAAAAAAAGCAAATATAACAGTTAACAAATCAAATCCAAAGCATTAACAATATGAAACCAGTTTCAACACCCATCATACAAAGAAATACTAAATGCTTATTATATTTGGATCATTCAAATCTAATTTTTATGGTTTAGATTTATAATTTTTCAACTGGTATTTTTATTTTTTTGGAAAACTGATAGTCAAAAGATTGTCTTTATTTTAAATTCTATATCAATTAAAATAATAATTTTAAAAAAAATAAAAGTAAAAAAATTGTAACTTTGGACCATCTACATTAGATTTGAACGGTCCAAAAGTAACGAGTTCTCAATACTCATTTATATGATGAGAATTGAAACTGATCTCTTAGCAACACAATGAAAACGAGCTTAATTAATTATGATTGAGTTCAAAGCCTATAGATAAAAGAATAATGGGCCTTTTGGCTTTTAGTTGCATTGCAAGATAAATGTCTCTTTTTTCTTTTTGCCCCGATTCAGATTTTGTTAGTAATCTAAATTTACTTATTTAATAAATGTCTTATGTAACACAATAACAATCATCTGATTTAATTAAAGATGTTTTCATTTAATATTAAAAAAATACATGAGATTTAATCAAATCTCAAATTTTTTAAAAGGATAATATATGAGAGAAGCATTTAGATGGTGAAAATTGTTTTGAATACTTTGAGAAAAAATACATTTTATTAATTTTTACGTAATGATAAAATTTAATTATTATAATTAAGATATTCATTAAATAAGTTAAATTAAATCACTTATTGAAACATATGTTTCTTTCTTATGGCAAAAAAATTGGATATAAAGCTAGTTTTGAGCGTATACAAATAATATACAAGCTAACTTTAGTTTTAATTAATGATAACCTAACAAAGTGGGTGTGACACTGGCGTCCACCCTTGTCCGCCCACGTCGGTGATCGAGTTCTCCCGTCACGCCTTTGCCTTTGTGGCTCGTGTCATAGCCTCTGTCTCTGCCGCCCGCCCGTGCGTCCCCTCTGTCCGTGTCGCCACCTTTGTTCACCAGCCGGCCCACCAGCTTCTTCTTCTACTTGTTTTTTTTTCCCCAGAACACCATCAATAGATAGAGTCAAGAATAAAGATTGAACTTAGAGAGCCAAATTTAGAGGCCTTATTTACATAAGGGTTTGAGTTTGAAAAATTGATGATTTTTTTAGAAAATGGGATTTTTAGGCCCAGCCTTGATAGGCCCTGAAAAAAGGACTCGACTTGGGTTCAGGCAGCTCTCCAAACCTTGTTTTTCAAAAGATTGATGATTTTTCAAGTATTGTGTTATCAAAATAATTAATGTTGGTTCTTTTGCCATATTTTAACACAATATTGATATATTTTTATTATTTTTTTAAACACGATTACTTTATAAGGTTTATTTCTTGGTTTTGATAAATGTTATACTCTATGATACATAAGTTTTTATATTTATCGGATTTGATGAGGTTGATCTATATTAAAAATTTCAATCTTCATTTTAAAACTTAATTAAGATTCTATATCTTTATTTTTATTTTTTTATTTTATTAAATTTTTTATTATTTTTTAATTTTTTTAAAAAATAAAACAAGCTTATAAGCCCAACTCTAAATCTTTCAAATAAAGATCAGACTTTAAAAATTAATTATTTTTTAAAAAATAAGTTCAAGAATTTAAGCTTGTAAGGATCGAGTTTATAAAAGACAAGCTCTTCCATTTTTCCACCTCCATCAATAGACTTTGTGAGAAGTAGTGAGGCGAGACATCTGATTTTCATGCAGGGGCATTCAAGTCAATTGACATAATACTTAAATTACAGCCAAAAGTCTAGGGATCACGGGCTCATTTCAGCATTTGGTGAGACTTTTAGGTAATAAAAATGGTTATAGGAAACTTAACAGTGATTTTTGCAAAAAGACAATTCTACTTAAATTTCTTCTATCACTTTTCTTTCTACCATTAGTGTACTGTTCCCTACCAACAAGCATGCTGACACAAATTGCAGTAACCAACAAATCGGTTGGTTTGAAACATTGTGACCCTCACATGTCTTTACTGTATATCGTTGTAATGAAGTAAATGAGGGGCCACTAAATCAAAAAATTTATGAAAATTTCAAGTAACGCCAAATTAAAGGAGATACTGATAATATATTGATAATGATGTTGCAACCAGAAATTTCAATTTCTTTCAGTGGATGTAAAGAGCATTTCTCAGAGCCTATATATATATATATATATATAGATGCAATCACTAGGTTTAAGAACGAACGTATATATATGTCATGTCAACCACTATAGTAATTTGATGGGTCCCGTAGGATTGCATATTGGCGTGACAGCATTTTTGTTGTTTTATAAATTTTATAATTCTCAAATGCGGATGCGGTGCTTGGTTAAATTCATCAGACTCATTATTACTTTATATGGATGCCATTGTTAAATGGGAAAACGTCACTGGAGGACCACTAAAGGCATTTTATATCGAAACAAGACCTCAATATTCTAATTTTTCATTGCACCCTCTTGGTCTTTAGCTGAATATAAATTTTTATGAAAAATAACTTAATTGCCTTTCTTAATGAAAAAAAAAATAAACAAGAATTGATTATTAATGTTTAAATGTATTATTGTCAATAATAAATTAATTACTGTCAAAACTCAAATACCTTGTTGTTCATGTAAAGTTAACAAATGTTTCATAAAACTAATGTTGCTAGTTTTTTAATCTTGTTAAAATTTAAATGTGTTGTTATCAATTATAAATTGATTATTATCAAAATTCAAATTGCTTGTTATTTATACAAGGTAAACACTTATTCTATTAAACATGTATTGTCAGTTTTTCAATTTTTTTAAATTCTAAATGTGTTGTTAGTCATGAATTGGTTGCTGTCAAAATTTAAATAGTTTGTTGTTTATGTGAACAATGATTCTATTAAATCTATTACAAATTTATTATTGTCAAAATACGAATGGCTTGTTATTTATATAGAGTGAACACTTATTATTTTAAACTTTAGAGATAATTCGATCATTTTCTACAAAAATTTATTTTCAACCAAGGATTAAGGGGTGTAAAAGTAAGA